TCAGAAAATTAGGATTTCTAAAACAAATCTGACCAAAACTTATTTACTTACATAGAATAGTTCTATTTATAGAATCACTTGTGTAGGCTGCAAACTAGGCAAGGCCACTTAAATACTTTATACCTTACGGCGTACCATATTGCATTAAATGCAATATACCTTACAGTGTCCCATATTTCTCTAATTTACACTGGAGTTTTTTAGACTACACCATCGAATAAGTTTCACTTATTTATTTTATCTCTAATATATCAATATTTTCTTATGTATGTAACATTGTAGCTTCTCATAATGTTGGAAATTATATTAAATGATATATTTAATATAGTAAATAATGAGTGGTATCTCATTTCAAAAATAGGTTTTGTAGGTTTGTTTGAAAGAATAATTTATGAAAGATAAAGTTTGTGAAATTTATATTTTAGAGAGTGTAAGGGATGAGTTTGACTTAGAATTTACCATTGCACTTCTTGTTTAGCCTTGCTAATTATAGTTATTATAATATATTATTACTCATTCTCAATATTATTTTATCACGACCCCTTCGTAATTAAATCTTTAACAACTTAAACAAGCTCCCCAATCTCAAGCAAAGTTACCATCTAAGCTTAAAACAAAATCACTCCTATGGTGTCCCTATTTCTTTAAGATGTTTTGTTGCTTGTCCTTATGTTTATTACTTTTATATTTGACTCCCTCACAATATCCCCTCTTGAACATCTCATAAAAATGACTATTTTTCATGCATAAAATATTTTTAGTGCATAGAATTGAATTTTGACCAAAAGTCAACGCAATTGTATTTGAATCATGAAAGTTTGATTTGAATCAAGAATGTTTAGCAAGAATGATTCAAACCATGTATAATTATGATTTGAATCATGATATTTTTCATTTCCCTAAACTTTGCTCGAGAAACATGATTTGAATCGTAATAATGCTTTATTCGAATCTTGAGCAAGTGTGTCAAATTGGAATTTCGTTTCTAGAAATGTGATATTGATCATAGATTTGCTTGATTCGAGTATGAACAAATTATTTGACTTTGAAATAAGTTCTGGAAACGTGATTCAAATCATGATTGAGTGTAACTCAAATCACATGACTCAAATCATGATTCGACCACAGAATGGAATTATGAGTTCCTCATTTACTTGATTTGCTTCATTATTTCACGTGATTTGTTTCATTCTTATGTCCTTGAGTTTAATCAAATGGTCATTTTCACTATGTTGTGTGTCCAATCCTTAACACATATATAAACTCTTTATCTCTATATTCTTTAAAAAAATCCAATATCTATAAAATTAACTATTCGTTCACACATTCATCTCTCAAGAGTAGAAACTTTGATTTTTGTGAGAATTTGTGAAACTTTATCTTCTTTCTCAAACATAAAAGTATCATTATTGAGTATGAGTCTTGTTCAACTCTATAAGAGAATGTGAGTTCTTGTTCTGAGATGATTCTATGAAAAACTAATGATTTTGTGAATACTTTCAAGATAGAAAATATGGTTGTAGATTTCTTTGAGAGATTCTCATTGAAGAAAGAGAAGAAGTCTTATCCAAATGGATTTTGGAATTTCTAGCATATTTCACAAGGTCAAAGTTTTACCAGATCTCGCAGTGGACGCCATTGTATTATCCAAAAATTACAGTTGTGTTTGTGTTCCCCTCGCAAGGGCGATGAGACTCAGAGACCTTAATAGGTATATTACATGAATGGGGATATGGCTAGATCATAGAGGCGAGTAGCCCTTTATAGTGGTTTTTAGGAAATTTTAAGAGATCAGCTCACGTGAGATGAGAGGCCCTCCCGGTGGTCGGCCCTGCTAGATTGTAGACAGGCGGTTGAAGTGATGTTGGTAGGGTTACTCGGAGCAGAGTGTTTTTTGAGTGGTGTTTAAACGTGTGTGAGTAGTGTTACTTGAGAGTCGTCCCCTTTTCCTTTATGGGATAGTGTATTTATAAGAGTTCACTAAGACCTAGGGTTTACGACCCCTTTGAACGTGGTCTTTGAGACTATTGGCTGGTTATATTTCCAGAGCCAACATGGACTTCCTTTCTTTAGCTACCACGTTAAGAGGTTCATGTGTGGGCGTCCATATTGAGTTTTGTCCATGCGGCCCATTTGCTAGGCAATAGGCACCCTAACCTAGAACTTTTCCAAATAGGACACTACACATGATGTATGCCCTTAATGCACACCATTTATGATACATAACTTGTGCATCATCATTGTCAGCCTTCGCTATTGCAACCAGGTAGTCTCTATACAACATCTCCAGGAAGAAAATATGGCATGACATTCTCTGGTGCCATCTATCTCCTTTGGTGCATCACCTGGGTTAACTCTCAGATAGATCACCATCATCTCCAGTGCCTCGGGTGGACTGCATTTGAAATCCCAAATAGGTCACCATCATCTCGTGATTGGAAGATGAATAAGGGATGACGCCTCATCAAATATGATGGGCATCAACCGATTGGAAAATAAAATGAAGAAGTCTTTAAGTGTCATCTCTTTATGAAAGCAGACAATAAATCATGGTTAATATAATCATACCCAGTCCTGCATAAATCTTGCAGCCTATATGCATGCATGACATTGAGAATCATAGTTCATCAGGTTGTGGCAACTTTGCAATCTTCCTACCATGGTTGATACATTTCAACGTATCTCAGTATTGCAAAAAAACATCATCATTAGAAAGTTCAAATATTATAACACAAATATTTTAAAGAATAAATAAAGATTTATGTTCTCTCCTCATCCTACACGTGCCTAGCCGCATGGTCTGGATACAAAGTAAGAAGGGACAAGTCTAAGGGGCCTCATAGAAAAACATCAGGAATGAAAGCAGGGGGTTCAACAACATAGATGTATGGGACTTCTGGGACATCAAGGGCAGTAATAAGGGGCTCATATCTCCTGGAAGACGATGCTAGAGGCATGTGAACTCTGAAAAATAATCATTTACATCAGCTGAAGTGGAACCAACGTCTAGACGAAAAGATCTAGTTTTTTCCTTCAATCAGAAGCATGTTGGGTCACTCTATCAAGCCTCAATGTGTCTTGGTTGTCACACATTTTACCTCTAATTACACTAGAAAAATCATATCATAATCAAAGAAGTCAAATTCATTGGACAAAACAAAAAATCAAACAAACAATGTCGAACAGAAAAATTCATATTTATCTTCGGACTCATGGTTCGGATTCCAATTTGCAGACAAAACTAGAGATGCGAAAATGAACAGACAAAACTCATACACTCTAAACTTGAAAAAAATGCATGCATCACACAATAGTCTTTTGTGCTTTTAACTACAACCTAATAAACCATAAAGAACTTACTTAAGTAATGCATTCATCACAAACAAACAAAAATGAAGCAAATGAAAAACTTACCAAATGATGATAAAACTCAAAAAATAAGAACCTCGACTGAATAGAGCGGGGTAGAGATTAAGTGATATCTTAGGATTGAATACAATTTAATAGAAATAGTGAGAAAGCTTGAAAATGATAGAAATGAAGTTCGCTCACAAGCTCTATTTTGAGTTCTAAATAAGTTTATGAAACGAAGAAGGAAGAGAAAAATGTCTGACTGCGAAGATATAGATCAAATGTATCCAAAGATTAAAATTACGAAGATTGAAATCCATATTAATTATTCATTATTTTGGTTTAGCGCTATGAGATATGGGCGGAGTATGATGTGGAGGTGGATCCGAATTTCAATCTAAGAAATTTTTTTCCCTCGCTTTTTATTAAGATACATTCAAAATTTTAAAATTTGAATTTTATAGGCATTATGGTGAACAACGCATAAAGGAAAAAAGCAATCCCCAAATAAATTAGGTTGGCTCCTTTAACCCTTAGTAAATCATTTGTGAGAGTTCCAATAAGGCAACTCAACTACAGTTATGCATAAACATTTATTTACATGGGAGTGAGTTTGAATCCAAAGCAAAGCATTCCATTTTTTTCATCTTTTAAGGAGTTAATGGGCGATGTTGGTCTATGGTGAATCGTAATTTATTTATTATTCTTAAAAAATGCAACGGTGACCGTCTATAAAGCAAAGCAACCGTCAAAAGACAAATATTTTAATGAATAGTCATGCTAACCGTCAAAAGATAATAAAAATATCAAGTAAAAAAATATTTTAAAAAATCAATTCAATTATTTTAATTTTCAATAGCATTTTTTAAAAACTTTTAACATTTTAAGCAATTAAAAAGTTCTTCTAGAACACTCATCAGCATTTCCCTAATCTTTTAGGACAATTGTTATATAAATAATTTTATTAAGCATGTATGGCAAAATGTTGACTCATAAGTTTATATATTTAAACTACTTTAATAACAAAAAAAAAATTCGAATAAATTATAAACAATTTTTCACCCATATTATATATAAAGCTAATAAAAACAAACTAAAATCAACTTAAGTTATTTTTATTAACTATCAATTTTATATCAACAATAGATCAATTTTATAAAATTAATAAATAAGCTAATTAAAACATGACATATTTGTAAAGAAAAACATTAAGAAATATATATATAATCGACAGATTAATTCGAAAGTAACATGTTAGTGGTTCAACAACATTCGAGCCATTGGAATTTAGCAGCTAATTTCATGTCCCTTCACCTGCCAAATCTGTGATAATAGAGTTATCAAATTCAAAGTACAAATACAAATGAATAAAACATAAAAACCAATTCCCTTGAAAATATTTAAGCTCTCACAATGCATCTTTAAACTATAAACTAGTATCAATATAAGTATGTACATGGAAAAATAAATAGGAACATCAGAAATCAAATGAAGGAAGAGGAAGAGATAACAGTAAAAATGTATATAATCTACACCATTTCAGCTCTGACCATTATAATTTGGACAGATTTCTGATTTTATTTAAATACCCAAAAAGGTACTTGAACATAGTGGCCAACCTCCAAAGCGTTCAACGGCTGAATTATCTTCTACCGACCAGAACTCCCCAAAAGGTGTTCAACGGCTGCATGAACATTCCCTGAAGTGGCAACGAGAGCCCTAATGTTCTCTTGTGTGTCGTAGAACCCCATCTCTTGAAGTTGTGTAAGCTGGGTGGCATACAATTGCTCTGGCGGCTCTGAGAAGGCAACAAAGTCAGTGAGAGCAGTACAAATTCTAAGTTGAAATCATTAGTAGGTCCCCCAACCCACACTATTTTAAGATCTTTTTATTAGTTTCATATCTTTGGAAGTTTATAATTGGGTCCCCGTGATTCAAAAATATCCGATGGGATGAAAAATTTATAAAAGCAAAGGATCTGATATTTTGAAAATTGGGACCAAACTATCAAATTTTATTGGTCCTCCTCACAGTTTCAAAATTTCTAACTGGCTCCCTGAATTCAACATACTTTTAGAATTTTATTTTATTTTTCCATAAGCAAGAACCAAATTAGGTTTATAAAAATTTGACTTGGAGTTATATGTTTGGATTAGTAGAAATGGAATGAAGCCATAATGTCTCACTGCTTGAAATGTGAACATTAAAGCGAAACAAGATAGCATACATTTCATTTCATCCAATACCTCACTTTTCTTCCTATATTTATTGTGAGATACGGGATGGAACATGTCTTTTCTTCCATTTCATCTTACAATATCCAAACAGTAAATGTTAACTTTATTTTATTCTCTTCCACACCAAACATCTCGTTTGTTCCATTCTGTGCCATAATGAACTAAATATACATAGTCTAATTCCTAAATAGTATCAGGAGCAATAGATTAGCACAAACTGAAATATATTGAGAAATAGAAGACTACAATGCTAACCATTTGATCTATTTGGAACAGATAGGCTACCAGCTCCAAGTCCACCAAACATGCTGGATAACATCTCCAGCCCCATGTTGTTAAAAGGTCCTGCCAATTAAACAAGTTGATAATGATTTCAAAGAAATGTTACAACTTCTGTTTGCAATGAAATGACAGTTGCATCATCCAAAACTACCGCCTAACTTAAAACCACCCCCCTTCCATTCAGATGAACACTTAAGGCCAAAAGAGTTGTTATTACACATTACCCTCTGAAAGATAGCACGTCAAAATTAATTACGCATCTTAAATATGAATTCAAAAAGAAAACATCCATACCTACTACTCTCTCTGTCCCAAAATAACTGACTTATTTTTTAAAAATCATACCAAAATGATTGAGCAGTTTCAATATTCAAATACAACATTAATTACTTTTTCTGAATGTACCATCTAATTAATGCTACTTGCATCACTCCCAACTCAATATCTGACACTTAACATTCATGATAGAAGTACTCGCCCATTTATATGTTTTGCTTAATGTGTGCGAATTGGTCAACTGGGTCAATTATATTGGGACAGGGGTATTGTTTATGACTTGCCTAACATAGTCTGTGGAGGTAGTCGCCATCAAAGTATAATTCATAATCAAATTCTCATTTTAGTTAAACAGGAAAACCTATAATGATCAGCTGATTCAAAATTATAACTCATTAAATTCAACTACTCAAGCATGGTTGGATAATCTTTAAGATATAGTTAATCAATTTGAATAGCCAATGAATTTTATTTTTTTTTAACAAACAGCCAATGAAATATCAAAACAACATAAAAGCAAACAGTGTGAATTATCAAAAACAAAGAGAATGGGGGGTTATATAGTGTACCAGTCCCTCCACCAGTTTGACCTGATTCCCTGCAACAAGATACTAGATTAATAAAGCAAAAAATTATTAACCAAAAATTGAAAGACAAGATGAACGGACAGACTGTATTATAACAGGTTTGGCAAGCAAAAATGTAAACCACCATCGAACAACTCTAAACAATGATATCCACTGCATACAAATTTAAACCTGCTGTCTAAGACAGTCACTGGCAAGAATCCCCTTGGAGAGGTAGTGAGTTGTATGTAAGATTCTGTTACATACTTATAGAGCGAGTAATACAACTTGATTTATTTTAGAATAGCACTTCAATTTATTATACTTCGTAATTAATTTAAGCACACGATCAAAATCTTTAATTTTAGTTCCAAACACCTGAACCATGATTGATAAAGGAACACATATCTTTTAGATGTTAGGATGACATTAGTTTGATATGACAAAAGGAAAAAACCCCTCTTTGGTTAATTTAATTGTTACTGAGAAGATATTAGAGCACAGATGACAACTGCATCGTTAAGCAAAAGAATAAGGACTTGAGACATTTGAAGTTCTTCTGTCCTTTCGAGAATAGGTAAAAAAGGCCAGCTGAGATTGAAATATCAGAGTTTGTATTATTACGTACCTTGTTGATTGTTGCTGACCTTGCTGAGACAGAAGGGCTTGCTGGAAAGACATGAGTTGCTGTCATTGTGTAATGAGACGGTAGTGAGAATATATTAATTGAAAACAAGTAGCTACCAAAATACATGGGTAGCAATTTACTTCTTTATCATAAAACAAACCACGTTTTAAACAAACAAATTTTCTGTATAAAATGGAGTGTGGATTTTCAATCCATAATACTTAGGCAGGCGAGTTTTCATTCAACCATGTAACCAATGATATTGACACCATTGTTCAAATTAGGCCTATAAAGTATGAGTTCTTGACAAAGAAACTACATAAAACATCTGCAGCAACATTTGAAAAACTGAGAATCTGAGTATCAAACCACATATCTATTAAAGATAGCAAATGGGGTATTAGAGTTCTTGGCAAAGAAACTACATACAAACATCTGCGGCAACATTTGAAAACTGAGAATCTGAGTATCAAACCACATATGTAATAAAGATAACGAAGACATATACCCAATCCTATGCCTGGGACAGGACATTCAATGAAACTCATCAACAGATAGATACATTAGATTAAATCTGTCTACCTGCAATGTCTCGGGTGATGAAAACAAACGAAGGAACTCTGGATTTCGCATCACATCTCTAAGAGAATTCATATCAGGCATGCCTCCACGTTGTTCAGTATTAGCAGCACCAAGAATCTAAGAAGTAAATTAAATATTAGAACGACCAGGTCAACAAATGCACAGTGCATCGTGTACAAGGCACACTAAGTAGATACCTGACTCAAAGTTTGTGGGTTGGAGAGCATACTTTGCATCATTTGTGAGATAGCTGGATTTTGCATTAATTGGGTTAATAAAGCAGGATCTGGCATACCACTGCCACCCAGCATGCCCTCGAGGCCAGGTAAGCCAAGCCCTCCTAAGCCAGTAGGTGCTTGCTGCCTAGCATCCACGCCAGTAGTTGATCTTCTGGTGTTATTTTGAGGAGCTCCAGCTGCATTGTTCCCCATTAATTACAGCATTAGTCACTATACTAGCCTCATAGCATAAAAATCAGAATTAAAAAAAAATGTGTATAGAGCAGACTGGTTAGAAGATCACTCAGTTACAGGATTCTGGAGAGAGAAAATAGCATCTGAACTTACTTCCGGTAGAGGACCAAGGATTAGGAAGTGGGTTAGCATTGGGTATGGTAGAGCCAGCAGTTGTTTCAGAACTAGTGGTTGAGGGATTAGTTGATTGGTCTCTTGCTAGGCCACCTCGAGTTGCTGCATTACCCGCCATTGTAGTGGCATTTAAAAATGGTTCTTGAACGTTTTCATACATGCGCCTTAGCATATTGAATCCCTCAGGAGATGATTCAATGTTACTCATAGCCCTGTCAGTATTTCTCATCATTTCACGCATGATCTCAGGATTCCTTGTAGCTTCAAGGGTCTGGCGGAGAGTGCTGGGATCATTAAGTATGTGAGCTAGCTCAGGGTTCCGATCCATGAGCTCTTGCATCTGTGGGTTGTTCATTATAAGATTCCGCACTATCTCAGGATTACTTACTAGATTCTGCATAGCAGGTGTGTTCATTAATTCTCTCATTAAATTGGGGTTTGAAATAAATGGTTGCTGCATTTGTTCAAGATCTGGAAATCCCTCGCCGAATAAGCCATTCCCTCCAGTACCATTGGTACCTAAACCAGGGAACAGTGAAGCTCCAAAACCAAGCCCTCCTGCACCCCCAACATCAGGAGCTCCAGCACCTCTGGCATCAGTCGCTGTGGTATTGGTGCCACTACTATTCGTCCCAACCCCACCACTCGTGTTGGCAGGTGCAAAGCTACGAACCAAATGGACAGCATGATCTGCCTCCAAACCTATAATAATTTACAAATGCAGATATATATAAAAGAATTCCATATAATTAACAAAATAGAAAGAAGAAACACAGTGCCACAATCAAGGACTATGTGAATATTATAAAAGAGAAATATGCACAAAATCGCTGCAGGTATTAAAATATATGGTTATGATTCAATCACTTACATAGTTCTATTATATTAGATCATAACAGCCGAGAGACAGGGAACGATACACAAAATCTATGAAGCACAGACACCAGAAATACGATATTGACACTGACACGTTGACACCAGTAATAATTTAAAAAATGAATAATCACAAGTGTCAGCGTCGATTTCAAACACATACACACATTTTATCATAGGTGTCGGTGCTACATAGCACAAAATCGCTGCATGGTATAAAAATATATGATGTGTCAAATCAAAACCAGAAGCTCGTTGAAAAGTTATCCTGCCCACATTTTCAGAAATATAAAATAGACTCAATACATTAAAAACCCCAATTATAAACTGTTTGATAAATTTCTTCTCTTCTATAAGCATATTCCACATAAAAATCCTAATCAACCATAAGCTATATACATTTTGCATTAATCATTTTCTTTGACAAATCAACCAATCACCAATTCAATAATTAAAAACAAATCATCAAAATCCGCATAAATACTCCAATTAAATCATAGAGTAACCTAAATTACCTAACTAATTATCATTAAATTCATAAAAGTTAACTGAAAAATGACCAAAAACTAAATCAAACAGTACCAAGAGATGAACAAAGCGAGATCGAAAATTAGAATTAGAATTACCGTAGCTTTGGAGCGTTTGATCGTCCTTCAATATCCTCCCCTTGTAAATGAGCCGTTGTTGCTGTGCGGGGATATCACAGCTCCTCGCAATGAGATCCTTGAACGATCCAACCGTCGAATCGAGAGAAACTTGAACGGAATACTTTGAACCGTTGGAGCATCGAACGTTGATGTTAACACCTTCAACACCGGTCATCGATTCCGATGCGGAATCCGCAACAGCACCGTCACCTCCCATGGTGTTTCTCTGTCGCGTGTGTAATCAAACACAGGAGGCGCGTGACCAAGGTCGCGCGTTGAAGGGTGATGTGTGTTGTGAAGAATCGAAGAAAGGGAAACAAAACCCTAAACGAAGGAAGCTGCAAATTTGTTTGATGTGAATAATAAAAAGGGAATTTGATAATTCATACTAGAAAATACAATGCTTAAATTTATTATGCAGTATAAAATAAAATAGAAAGAATTTATTTATAAAATATTAATTTATATGGACGGTTTAGATTTTATTATGTTGATTAATCATAGATTTCAGTATTATACTTCTTTTTATAAATGAAAATTAGATAAATTTAAATATCCATTACTTGATAAGATAGCATAATTGAAGATTATGTGCTAGTATCCATTACTTAATAAGATAGCATAATTAAAGATTATGTGCTAGTGAAAATTTTACATTAACACATGGAAAAAAATTATCAATAAAATTAGATGATTTGAAAAATATATATTTGTCAACAAATATGTTTTATTGGTCCTTTAAAGAAAGTCAGATTTTTATTGCATATCAATCTCAAGTGCAAGAATGGAGCAAGGAAGAAAAGGAATAAATGATGTTTCTTATTCCTTTTAATTGTCTCATCTTGAGAAAAGACAATTTGACAATCTTTATTAGGTCAATTAGGCTTCGCACTTTCATTTCCTCTAAATTTAATCGAAGTAACCGTTTAATACATATTATTTGACATCTTTAATTTTGAAATATTCTTCATTTAATGTTATATTATAATTTGAAATTGATGAATTATTTTATAAAATAAATTAGTGAGATACTCGCATGTTAGTATGGGTATTGTTGCGGCTCAATTTACTATCATCAAAGATAATTTAATATTAAAAAAATATAAAGAAGGAATAAGTAATGAAAAAAAAAGTTTTTTAAATAGAATAAAATAGAAAATAACAAATTCTAAAAATAACATGTATAAAAAACAACCATTATTGAAAGGGTGTAATAAACCTATGGATGTGTTTGTTTCAAGGTTACAAACATTATTCATGAGAATGTGATAATGGGAATGTAATATTCTCATGTTTGATTTAAGTTTTAAAAAATCATTCAAGGAATTTTTTATTTCAAGGAATATTATTTATTCATAGATTCTCTATTCTTATTTCAGGGCATAAAGGGTGAGAATAAAATATTCTCATGGGAATAAACTCAACTAACTCTAATTTCCCACTATCACTCCTATTTACTATTATTTTTTATTTTTTTATAATTTAAAATTAAACAAATTTTATAATTATTCTTAAGAACCTAAATTCTTACCAAACACATGAATTGAAATAATATTCCCAAAAATAATAATTCTAGAAATATCATTCTAAAGAATAAAATTTTCAACCATGAAACAAACACACCTTATATTTATCAAAATTAAATTACTTAGAAGAGTTATAATTTTAGAAAATAGAGTTATAAAGAATGGTGTATTTAAGGTATTTTAAAAGAGTAAAAATGAAAACTATAATTATGTAAAGATAGTTTATTTAACATGTTGTTGATATATAATTATAAAGATTTTAGAAAATGAAAATTATTAAATATATAGTAGTTTATTTAATATATATATATATATATATATATATATATATATATATATATATATATATATATATATATATATATATATATATATATATATATATATATATATATATATATATATATATATATATATATATATATATATATATATATATATATATATATATATATATATATATATATATATATATTATAAAGTGGCTCGAAACATAATAATGAAGTTGTCATCGATCTTTATTTATTCTTAAAAGGAAAGGGAAAATATCGAATAAAATCCGCGAAAGAAAAGAAATATCGTCGAGACCAAGAGAGGGTTCGGGAGTCGGTTATGCAAGGGAAAGATATTAGCACCCCTCACATTCAATGTACTCGATAGGAACCATTTAATTAGTGTGTATTTGAGTGTTAGTGTGATAGTTTATAATCTTCTACTTATTAATCGAGAAAGGAGAAAGAATAAGAGTTTTTGTTTTTTTTAGTTTATTGTGCTCAGCAACACTTCACATCTTGCGCCTACGTTGTGAGTGAAACTTCACCATTAGATGTTTTGTGTGATGTCAAAACTAGGAAAACTTAGCATTTCTGTATATTTGACGATATATTTGCACCATTTTGTGCACCCTTGCATTAGGGGTCTTATGAAGCATTCAAAACAAGTTTAAAATTGATTCAAATCATGAAAAATCATTTTCTATACAAAAAACACTTGCATGTGTGTTTACAGTGATTTCTGGTAAACAACCGCTAGTCCTCCAAACTATCGAATAATCTTACTGACTGTTATTCAATCTCTCTGGTAACTCGCAGGATCGACTAGATTGATCCTAGGATGTGTTGGTCATTAGAGTAACTCTCATGATAGAACTGGTATTCATGGTTGGTATTTAGAATGTTGTATAGGTGTCTAACTTGCTTCGATTGCTCTATTAAAGATCTAAAAGCGTGCTCAAGTAAATGTGCGCGAAACTAAATTGCATGAATAAAGTTAAATTGTAGAGACATGTAAAAACTGCATAAAAGACAAGTAAACGACTTCGAAGCATAAAAACATGTAATGTAAAAGATTCTCTGGAATGTAAAAGATTCGAAATATGAAGAAAGCGTTTAAATGCAAGAAAAACAGTAAAATGACTTTAAGTGAAAAAGGTGTTTGAATGATAAAAACTTGAAGATAAAGGCATGAAATGTATAACAAAGCTGTGTCTAAGAAATGCGTTTGAAGCGAAGAAGTGCCAAAACATTTGAAATTCAAATGCAAGCGGGATGTTCGAAATTTGAAATATATGCGCTGGAGCATTCGAAGACGCGTGGAAGCAAGAGAGAGGCATTGCTCTGCATGTTCTGAACGTGGCAGAATCTTATAGCAAGATCGTTATGATCGAAGTAGTATAAATAGAAGTCTTAGCATTAGGATTTCGTGTGTCATATCTATTGTACAAAAAACTCAGTAAACATTCAAAATACCACATGGTTAGGGAAACGAATGCACGAGCAATGTATGTATGATAACACCACATGTTTATGATTTAATGAAAGGAGACTCAGAATTAAAGGAGACTCAGAATTAGTGGTCAAGCAAATAACAAATGAGTATAAATGCATAAAGGAAAACCTGATGATATACTTCGTCATAGTTAACAGGCTACTTAGGAAATTCGAATACATGGATATTCAACATATACCAAGAATAGAAAACCAAGAAGCAAATGACTTAGCACAGTTGGCTTCGGGTTATAAAGTTTCTGCCAGAAACTTTGAGGATTTAGTTGAATTAAGGGGTAGAGTTATGGCTACTAGATTCACACCATCAGATCTAGAGAGTATGAAATTGGGTTATGCTGAGAAACAGGGATTCGAAATATTAGCCATAAACACTTTATCAGATGCAGATTGGCGAAGTCCACTGGTGAGTTATTTAACAAACCCAACTCTGAATGTTGATAGGAAGATAAAATATAGAACATTGTCATATGTCCTCATGGGAAACGAATTATTCAAAAAGACCCAAGAAGGCGTATTATTGAAGTGCCTAGGAGAAAGTGAGGCATACTTAGCATTGTCAGAAGTCCATAATGGGGCATGTGGGGCACATCAAGCGGGTCATAAAATGAAATGGTTGTTATTTCGATATGGCATGTATTGGCCCAGCATGCTCAAAGATTGTATAGACTTTGCTAAAGGTTGCGAAGAGTGTCATAAACATGCAGGGATTCAACATGCCCCTGCAAGTGAGTTACATTCAATCATTAAACCATGGCCATTTAGAGGATGGGCATTGGATTTAATAGGAGAAATAAATCCTGTTTCGTCTAAAGGACAGAAATATATCTTGGTAGGAATAGATTATTTTACCAAGTGGATCGAAGTTATACCATTAATAGTTGCTGATCAAGAGGCTATTATTGAGTTTATACAAAAACAAATTATCTATAGGTTCGGATTGCCAGAAAGCATAACCACAGACCAAGGCTCTGTGTTTACTGGTAGAAAGATGCAAGAATTTACCCAAGAAATGGGGTTTAGATTACTAACATCAACGCCATATTATGCTCAAGCAAACGGTCAGGTCGAAGCGGCTAATAAAGTGATAATAGGGTTAATTAAGAAACATATTGGTAAAAAACCAAGGAACTGGCACAAAACTTTGGACCAAATACTATGGGCCTGTAGAACATCTCCTAAAGAAGCTACTAACAACACGCCTTTCCAACTCACATTTGTTCATGATGCAGTTCTGCCAGTAGAAATTCATCTACAATCAGTTTGAATTCAAAGACATAACGAAATTCCAGCTGCATTATATTGGGAGATGATGATGAATGAGTTAGTGGAATTGGACGAAGTTAGATTACATGCATTGGAAATCTTGATGAGACAAAAAGAAAGAGTGGCCAGGACATATAACAAAAGGATGAAAAGGAAAGCATTCATTATTAATGACTTAGTCTGGAAAGTCATATTACCCATGGACAAGAAAAATAAAATATTAGGTAAATGGTCACCTCATTGGAAAGGGCCTTTTCGAATAATAAAGGTATTCTCAAACAATGCATATGAAATCGAAGAGCTGATGGATGATAAACGTATCCTAAAGGTTAATGGGAAGTATTTAAAGAAATATAAGCCACGCCTGCAGGAGATTCGAATAGTAACAACGTAATCAAAATATCATAAAAATGCCAAAATGGCAATATGGGATGCCAAAATGGCGTTGTTCAAATATTACATATAAAAAACCAAATTTTAATCAAATGAACACTGAGATTTAGAAATAGGAATTATTCTTCAATCTGTTGAAGGTACTTCGAAAAGACTCAATCCTTTGTTGAGCAAAGCGTCTTGCTCCCTCTAAGGTGGCCACTTCTCCCTTGAGTTGTTCTGCAGTTTCCATTTCTGCAAGCCCCTGG